TCTTTCCTTAAATATTGATACTGTTGTTTCTCTGTGTATTATTGTTATTATCATCATTTAAATATACAAATAATATAGAAAAATAATTAAGCTTAACTTTTGTAAAACAAATATGAAAACTGAGGAAAGAACTGTAATCAGGAAAAGTTAGTATGGCTAATGAGCATGTCTACAACCACAAAACCTGAGTGGATGATACGGCAAACATATCTTGGATGGCACTGCAACCAAAACACTTGACTCAGAAGCCAAGACAAGTGAGGGGTAGTTGTGGCAACTAACGAGTCTCTTTTTCCGTCACCCAGCTGGCTCTTCACACATTGGTTGTTATAGTGCTTGACATAAAAACATGATACAAATAACCAGACTATGAAGAGTAAGTATAGTCTTGATAGAATTACCGTATTGCAAAAGTGTAGGTGCATATTATTTATGGTGATAAGGCAAATTCAACTCTTTGTTTGTGAAAATTAGCATGTGTATTACATTTGGGAGCATATTAAATTCGAAAAATTATGGTAACTTTTAATTCCTTAATTGGAAAAGGAAATATTTAAATAACTTCTCAATCTCTACTTGTCTGTGTAACGTGACATTTACCGACTCCGACTGGTTCATTTTCTATTTTTTCATCATTTCTATGATGCCCTTAACATAAATTACTCATTATAGTTTAGATATTACTACAGCATAGTCCAGTTTTTATAGCCATCAATCTTCTTTGTTTATGGAGATATAAACCAGAGAGCCAAACCCACATTCCATACTCTCCTATCACATCCTCTCTAACCAAGAACTCTAACATTTGTTACTACATCATTTATAAATAATAGAAATACAAAGTTTTAATTTACTGAATGGCATATAATGCTATATTGTTCCCAGTAGAGATTTTCAGTTATTATATCTACAGATTCAAAGTTGCTATCACTGAATTCAGATCGAACAGCCATGGGAATAATTTTAAGGCACTTATGCCTTAGTTAGAAAGCCAGTTAAATTATAATAGTTATAGGACATTGTTTGCATTGTGTGTATTATTATTTTGTGTTCTTTAATGTATATTTCAAATGAATAAAAAATATTTTAATTACTAGTAATATCGTTACAAGGAACTAGGGTTAAGTTTCATAGGATAGCAGACAGCAAAAACAAAACAAGAAGCCAAATGTTAGACTAAGATTGTTGATATTTTTTTTTATTTATAGTTAAAAGTATCTAAAGTGTACAATTTAGAAATTTATTAGAATATATAAGTTTAAATCATGAGGTATGCTTGAGAGTAGCTTGCGTTATGTCATTCAATATGGTAACTTGACATATGCATTCCCTGTGTGATATACAGCATGCATCACTGGATTATTAGTTAGATGCAGTTCACAGAACAATAACAAAATAAAATGACATAAAAACAGATGTAAAGTGTTACGAGCTCTAAGCTGTTTCAGATAAACAATTATAATTTTCTGTTACAATTTGCGATCATTCTAGAAAAAAAAAGCTATTTATTTCGTTTTTTGTTGTGGTTACAAAGCCGATTAAATCAACTTAGTACATATAATGCTAGGGTAGAGAAAATAACAGATAAAATAATTATGTTAAAAAAATAAGCCTTTGATATTTATTTAGGAAGTTCTAAAGGTTATCCAAATGAAATTTAAAAACTCATTTCATCTCAGAAATGAAATAAAGTAGTTTTGATTTGAACATGAATCATACTCTGACTCCATGTGTTTACAGACAAATCTGTACAATAAATACCTACTTAAAAAATGTGATTTTTTTGTTTCAAAAAGACTTGTAATGTCTACTAAAAGCTTGCTAAGTTTGGTTGAAATATACTCACTATATTAAATGTTATAATATGTACACTTTCATGGTTACATGCTGGTTGCAAGGTCAGTGTGACCAAGGCTGTATATATAGAGAGAAATAATTGTGTAGTTTGAGAAGTTTATATTATTAATTGTATAAGAATACCAAATTTTATGAACACATAGTACAACTATCAGAAAGTAAAAAACCTAATACTGAGGTTGTCTAGAAATACCCAAACAGAAAGACACAACAGGTAAGACTACTTCCATACCTATATGGGAAAACAGTTGCTTTCTTATCAGTGCCATTGGTACGAAGCACATCAGTAATGTTGCTGCTAATATCACGTGCCCACTTTAAAGCCTTGGTAAAGTCCTGAGAAGTCTTAAGTATAGTGTGATAGGTCATGAAATAGGTTGCTACATAAAAAGAAAAAACAATAAGTAAATGTAACTTGACTCATACCTCTTACTAAACATTAACAATAAGATTAGCTGATATTTAATGATGAATATCAGATAAAAACTTTAAGTTTCAAAAACGATGAAAAACTTTAGAAACATAATTACTCTTGAACAAAGAATTTAATTTTATTTCAACAAAACTTCTATATAAAAAAACAGACACCACATAGGACATAGACATAGAGTACAAGTTGAAAATAGTACTAAAAATATTTGAAAAAAGATTGTGCACTGGATAATGTAAGAAATACACCAGACAGACTCATTCTTACTACATAGCTGATCTTATCATTTGTGTCTAGTATTCTGTTATTGTACTACATGGTTTATCATCAGTATTTTGTTATTGTACTACATGGTTCATCATCAGTATTTTGTTATTGTACTACATGGTTCATCATCAGTATTTTGTTATTGTACTACAAGGTTCATCATCAGTATTTTGTTATTGTACTACAAGGTTCATCATCAGTATTTTGTTGTTGTACTACATGGTTCATCATCAGTATTTTGTTGTTGTACTACATGGTTCATCATCAGTATTTTGTTGTTGTACTACATGGTTCATCATCAGTATTTTGTTGTTGTACTACATGGTCCATCACCAGTATTTTGTTATTGTCCAAGTGGTTCATCATCAGTATTTTGTTATTGTACTACATGGTTCATCATCAGTATTTTGTTATTGTACTACATGGTCCATCACCAGTATTTTGTTATTGTCCAAGTGGTTCATCATCAGTATTTTGTTATTGTACTACATGGTTCATCATCAGTATTTTGTTATTGTACTACATGGTTCATCATCAGTATTTTGTTATTGTACTACATGGTTCATCATCAGTATTTTGTTGTTGTACTACAAGGTTCATCATCAGTATTTTGTTATTGTACTACAAGGTTCATCATCAGTATTTTGTTATTGTACTATGTGGTTCATCATCAGTATTTTGTTATTGTACTACATGGTTCATCATCAGTATTTTGTTATTGTACTACATGGTTCATCATCAGTATTTTGTTATTGTACTACATGGTTCATCATCAGTATTTTGTTATTGTACTACATGGTTCATCATCAGTATTTTGTTATTGTACTACATGGTTCATCATCAGTATTTTGTTATTGTACTACATGGTTCATCATCAGTATTTTGTTATTGTATTACATACTTTTCAATCAAATATCTTTTACACTGTAGGTAGAACAACATTAAATATCTGACCCTTGATGCTGGGTATTGATAGTTATTTTGTTTATTATTTTAATAATGATTTCTATCCACTACTTTACATTCAAACATAGTCCTAATAATCAAAGAGGTTATTAGAAATCAATGGGCAGTAAAACTACTGTCTGCTTTTATATTATTTGAAAAGAAAGGGATGTTTCTGTAAGTGCTTCTAATCAAATACTTAAGTCAGCTGCACAAAACATTAACCTCAAAACAAATATGTACAAAGTAGTTGTTTGGAACACTGTCATTTCACATCATCACAGGATGATTTTCTAAATTCAATAGGTAGCTAGTATATGTAAAAAGATGAAATAAGTACACAAGTGAGAGCTCTACAGAAAATTTTATACTTTCACACCATCATATCATAACGGGTTTGGTTTCTACAAATCATTAGGTAATGAGTAAAAGGCCTAAAATTCATAAGTTGATGTGGCAGATAGTGATCTTATCTAGTTACCGAAGCAAGATTCAAGACGTACCTCCGATCCTCGCATCATTATCGTAAAGTTCCACTCCACTTGCATATGCTGCATGGCCACTGTAACATAACATTAATGTAGTAAACTGCTTCCTAATCTTGAAGAAGTTTAAAATTAATCCCACAGTGGGATCCACATCTCTTAATACTTTAAGAACTTTACTAAGTAACAAACAGTTATAACCATCGTTAGCATGTACAATGTTTCTATTATTCCAATTCTTTTAACTGTTTCTCTGCCCTGGAAACATACACAGCACTACCATGAGAGTTTAGAACTGTGTACCACCATCAATCTTCCCAATGTTTCGGATAAGTAAGGAAATATTAAAACATGTTTATATAAAAGTAAACCTGACAGTTATTTGTCTATAAATGTGGCAGTGAAAGGGTTAAATGTAACATTTAAGCTAACATATGTTAAAAACATTTACACTGTGTACTTTCTCAAACAATCTTTTTAACTACAAATATATAAGGTAATGTGATAATTTGTAAACAATAGTGAAGCTGGATTATGATTGCAAATACAATTCATTAAATAGTTCAAAATATGAAAGACATAATTGCCATTCATGACATGAAAATAATAAACATTTGGAACAATATACATATTACCACAGTCTACTCGATAAAATCAAATAATGTATATAATACAGAACCATAGTGAGGATTCCCAAAGCAGTTAACATCTCTAGAGCAAATTACACAGAATATTACAGTAGAAGCACAACTACATTTCAACAAGCACAGCCAATAAGTTACAGTCCACTGCACAGCGTACAGCTACAGTCCACTGCACAGCGTACAGCTACAGTCCACTGCACAGCGTACAGCTACAGTCCACTGCACAGCGTACAGCTACAGTCCACTGCACAGCGTACAGCTACAGTCCACTGCACAGCGTACAGCTACAGTCCACTGCACAGCGTACAGCTACAGTCCACTACTCAACGCACAGCTACAGTCCACTACTCAACGCACAGCTACAGTCCACTACTCAACGCACAGCTACAGTCCACTACTCAACGCACAGCTACAGTCCACTACACAACGCACAGCTACAGCCCACTACACAACGCACAGCTACAGCCCACTACACAACATACAGCTAGAGCCCACTACACAACATACAGCTAGAGCCCACTACACAACATACAGCTAGAGCCCACTACACAACACACAGCTACAGTCCACTACACAACACACAGCTACAGTCCACTACACAACACACAGCTACAGTCCACTACTCAACATACAGCTACAGATCACTACTCAACATACAGCTACAGATCACTACTCAACATACAACTACAGATCACTATACAACACACACCTACAGTCCACTACTCAACACACAGCTACAGATCACTACACAACACACAGCTACAGCCCACTACACAACACACAGCTACAGCCCACTACACAACACACAGCTACAGTCCACTACTCAACATACAGCTACAGTCCACTACTCAACATACAGCTACAGATCACTACACAACATACAGATACAGCTCACTACACAATGTCCAGCTACAGTTTAGTACATAGTGTGCAACTAAAGTTCACTAAGCAACATACAGCCACAGTTCACTACATGATATAGATATAGAAATCTTGTGGTATCTAGGTATTCTCTGAGATATTGTTTGTTTCACCACAAAGCAAGTATCTTGTATGTAGAGATCATCCATTTATCTTTTAAAGTCAGGTTTTTTATTTTTGTAAATTTTGAAGAGTTCTAATAACTAAATAAAGAAAGGGCAGCATTTTCTTCAGATTATACAGTGAACTGAATGTTGTTACCACAGATGCAGTAGCAGAATATCTGGGTTGTGGGACCAGATTATCAATGTGTCATCAACATAGCTTTTCCAGTCATGACTTTAGGAGTTCAGATTTTGAGCTCCAATTTCAGAACCTTTCACCGAGGTTGAGGAGAACCCATAGGAGTGCAACACAACTTCCATGTGTAATGAGTCGACTTAAGCACTTGTACTCAAAATAGATTCATTGTTAGACAAGGCAAAAAGACAGTGCACCAGAAGAGAGGTCGTCAAGTAGAGAGTCAACTAATAGAAATTCAGCTTAGGAAAAGGTCAACTTCTGATGTAATACACCATCTCCATGCACAGAATAGCTAGGATCCCACACTGAATTGGTGGAGGGGCTGGAGCAAAATTTAAACCTAGATGAGCTCCCTTCAGGAGGTGCCTGAAGGAAAAGCCCATAGAGTGTGATACCTGATGGCAGGGGCTCCATAGGGACACATTTATGGGAGACCACACTTCATCTCAACCAAGTTGTACTTTCTACCCAGAATATAGAGGGGAGGGGAGAAACAAATAAGCCCCACATGTCACAGGGATGAGCAGAAGGAGAATATGACCAACAGAGCACTTGCACATAAGCTGTAGGCAAACCAAAAAGTGTAGTGTGGTTGGGGCATGATCAGGCCATGTGGGGTGTGCTCACCTGGACATACTCTACATACACTAGCTATTTGAGAAGTGACATGCACTACACCAACAGTGTCACCATCACTGTACTTCTCACTGTATTGTACTGAGTTCAATCAGTGAGTAACTCTCCAAGGTCTACCACTTTGTGACCAGGAACTGGTAAGTATCAAGGGTCTCCCATACTCCACTTGACATAGGTGGGTGAGAGAATTTGTCCCCAGATGCCTGCCAGAAAGGTCTTTTACCAGAGATAGTGCAATGAGAGACCACATAACCCTATTTGTAAAAGCCAACAAGCACAAGTCAACGAAATAGACTGTCACTTCCCTGATGCTGGGTTTTTCCATGACAGACCATGGAATGGTACAGTCTGGATCAGGCAATTGAGTAATTTAAATACCACAAGGCTGTCACTTCCCTGATGCTGGGTTTTTCCATGACAGACCATGGAATGGTACAGCCTGGATCAGGCAATTGGGTAATTTAAATACCACAAAGGTGTAACTTCCCTGATGCTAGGTTTTTCCATGACAGACCATGGAATGGTACAGTCTGGATCAGGCAATTGAGTAATTTAAATACCACAAAAGTGTAACTTCCCTGGTGCTGGGTTTTTCCATGACAGACCATGGAATGGTACAGTCTGGATCAGGCAATTGGGTAATTTAAATACCACAAGGGTGTAACTTCCCTGATGCTGGGTTTTTCCATGACAGACCATGGAATGGTACAGTCTGGATCAGGCAATTGAGTAATTTAAATACCACAAAGGTGTAACTTCCCTGATGCTGGGTTTTTCCATGACAGACCATGGAATGGTACAGTCTGAATCAGGCAATTGAGTAATTTAAATACCACAAGGGTGTAACTTCCCTGATGCTGGGTTTTTCCATGACAGACCATGGAATGGTACAGTCTGAATCAGGGAATTGAGTAATTTAAATACCACAAGGGTGTAACTTCCCTGGTGCTGGGTTTTTCTATGACAGACCATGGAATGGTACAGTCTGGATCAGGCAGTTGAGTAAGTTAAATACCACAAGGGTGTAACTTCCCTGGTGCTGTGTTTTTCCATGACAGACCATGGAATGGTACAGTCTGAATCAGGCAATTGAGTAATTTAAATACCACAAGGGTGTAACTTCCCTGGTGCTGGGTTTTTCCATGAGAGACCAAGGAATGGTACAGTGTGAAGAAGACCACAACAGAAAAGAAAAATAAAGAAACCACTACAACCATATACCTCCCATACCTGAAAAATGTCAGCGAAAAACTCAAACGAAAATCTAAGAAATTCAACATAGACGTCTGATGGAAATCTTACAAAACACTAAGATCCATTCTGGTGAGGAACAAACAGAAACCTACCAACAAAAAAAAGAAAAACGTCATTTATGAAATTCTGTGTTCCTGCAACAAAACATACATTGGAGAAATGGGAGGAAGACTCACAACAATAATAAAGGAACATAAAGACAGTACAAGACTCGTGAAAACACAAAATTCAGTCATTGCTGAACACGCCATATCAACTGGACACAATACAAACTGGGAAAAAGCTAGAATCATTGACACAGACAAATTTTGGAAGACAAGAAAAATTAAAGAATCGTTTTACATTAACATAATAAGACCTTCACTAAACAGAGATTCAGGATTAGAGGTGAGTAAACTGTGGCTACCATTGGTTGAGGCTACAGGAAGTCTCTCCTCCAATCAGAAACATGTTTTAACTAACCAATCATAACACGCTCTCCACAATCCACTAGAACACTATAAAGATCAAACTACACCATACACACACAATGACCTGAAGACGAAAGGCGGAAGACTTTTGAAACGTCATCCTCTACATTTGTAGATTTCTACAAGGCAATTGCTGTTCATTTGAAACATAGATTCATTATGAATACTCTGCCTACACAACGTATCAAAGATTACCTAAAGAGCTGTTATGGACCAGCTTTTATCAAGAAGATCAACAACTACAACAAGAACCTTACCAAGCTTGCACACTGCACCAATCACCTGACCTTCCTACTTTGCTGCAGAGAGTCAAACATCATTCCAAACTATCTGATACTCAAAATAACTACTCTCCCCAATACTCCAAAGATAAAGAAAGTTCTCGACAATACCAGCAGGAGCTTCCTAAGATTACATATAGAAGAACATAGACGAAAGAAGAACCATCTAACCAAGAAAATTGAAACACAACATGCTGAGCTTGAACAACTTTTCACCCCAGAAACCAGAGCACTGGACATCTTAAACCTTTACATCATACACTATACATTCAACCTGGAAAGCATCAAAAAGAAACAAGTCCAAAAGTTTAACAAACTGACCAAGACAGATACCCCTATGACTACAAACATAGTACACAACTACAATTAAGAGATTACTAAGTGATGCTGAAAACAAGATCCTTAACCTAGGCTTAAACTTCGCCATATATCCTAGCACAGTTCTAGCAGTTAACATAGCTGCAACCTTACAATCTGCTGCACAAAACCTCCTGAAATCCATGGCTGAACAATTCTGACATCAAACTTACACCACCCTCAGGAATGCCAAGAAACCAAAACCTAACAT